CAGTCGACACCTGACCACAGCATTTGGAAAGGGAGCAGGTCCTGGGTCATTGTGTGGAGTGAGGGATGTTCTTCCTAATAATAGGGGTCTTTGTAGGGAGGAGGCTTGTTGTCAGGGCTCCTTAGCTGAGCAAAGGGGAAGGGAGGTGCGGTGCCAGCTCCTTCCAAAAGGAAAGGTTACTGACCCCCCACAGAGCCCTCACTGGGAGGGCCACATTTTGGTCTACTTGACCCTGCCACCCCTCCCCTCCATCTTCCACCCACTTCCATCCTGAAGAAAGCAAATGAGCTAAACTCCAGGGAGGGCTTGAAGAAGATAAGGAGAATTGAGAAAGGAGGATGATGTGGGTCTGAGGGGAGGGGGGAAGAATTGGGGCGGGGAGCTGCCGTGAGCTTAGAATGCGTAAGAATCCGTTTTGGTGCTGGAATGTGCCCAGTGAACCTACGGCAGGGTTTTAAGACCCCCAGTTATCAAGCATCTGTTCAGAAGACCAGAGGTTTAAGGCACCGGCTAAGTTCAAAGCTACGTTCAGCTTTGGACGACTCAGGACTGTCAGAGCAGCGGTTCTCAAACCGTGCCAGAACCATCAGAAGGGCCGGATAAAGCTCAGGCAGCTGGGTCCTGCGCCCGAGAGTTTCTGATGCAGCAGGTCTGGGTGGGCGCCGAGAATCTGCATTTCCCGCCAAGCTCCCAGGGATGCTGCTGGTGCGGGGACACACCTGGGGGGCCTCGAGGAGGCTGCAGCTGGGGGCGCGGGGCGCAGGGTCCGCCGGAGGCGCTGGTGCGCCACGCATTCGGTTTCGTTCCTAATCCCGCAGCCCTGGGAACGTGAGGGTTTCGTTTCCCCGCGGCCGGGGGCGGGCGGGGAGCGAGGGGCTGCGCTCGCGCTGCTTAAAGCCCGAGAGCGGCGGGCGCCTGGCGCCGGTCACTGCACGGGGACGGTAAGTGTCGCGCTCCTGGGTCTGGGCACCCTCCGCCGGCCAGAGGCCTCGGGGCATTTGGGCGGCTGGCTGGGAGTTGAGCGCTCCGGGGTGCGGGTATCGCGCAAGCTAGTAGTAGTAAAAAACGATCATGATTATTAGTGATATTGACATGATAATGAAAATGATGATGACGATAGTAATAATGATGGCGATGTTGGCTGGGCTCAGAGCACGGCTGACTCTCCTACCGACACGCACCTGAGGCTCCCGGGTGATGCATCAAAAACAGTCCTCCACCCCCCAAACCGGCGGCTTTTCTGCCTGAGAAGGTGGGCACGTGGAGGGGATGGGGACAAAGAGGGTCTCCGAGGGAGCCGGTTAAGAGGGGCGCACTGCAAAAATTTCACATCCACTGCTGCGTGACCTCCGAGCGCGCCCCAAACGGCTGACCAAGCTTCATATATCAGTTTATATTTCCTGCTAAGGAGTGCAAACCAGACAAGTCAGCTAGCTGCCCGGGGGTTTCCTTGGAAGCGCATGGACCAGGGGTCTTCACCAATCCTTCCGAATAGAGGGAGCGGAGGGTCGCTGGGAGCCGCCCTATAGGAAGCAAGGGCTGGCCGGAGAAATGGGGCATGCGCCGAAGTGCCCTGCGCGGAGGACCCTTAACCCAGGGGATGGAGAGTTGCCCAGGGTCTGCCTTCCCCGTAGCTTGTGCAGCCGGGTGCGACGGCGTGGAGCCGGCACACGTAGTCTTCAGGATGGAGGCAGGTAGGACAGCCCTGGGGGCTGACGGGAAACCCAGGCGCCGCTGAGACCTGCACCGCAGCCCTCCTCACCCCGACCCCACCGCGGGTGACCGCAGAGCTGCGCGTGTGGGATCCTCGAAATCATTCAGTCCAATTTTAAATCAAGTTTTTGTCGGAAGTAAGGTCAAGTGATGTCAACCCTTCCCCCCACCTCCCCCTCAGCTGTGAAGACCCCAGAAGACTCCTAAAATGTTCATGTCATCTTTCTACTTTAGAACAGAGCTGCTGGCCAGAAGTTCCCCCACCGGCCTGCAGGTCCTTCTTTACTGCTCTTCCGCCCACCTGCCGATACTCAGCTCATCTTGATTTGATAGAGAGCCTTAGGTCTAAAGTACAAGATTTTAACCAAAGATTTTAACCAAGATTTTAATCTTTTAACCAAATTACCGAGTCTGCGCCGTTTCTGCTCGCCCTGGGAGAGGCCAGTAAATTGGGAGGTGAGGTGTTGGGCGTAAGGAATAAGGACTTTATTCGGAAAGCTGGGGGTCCGAGAAGACGGCCGACCAATGACCTAGAGAACCCTCTTCCCGGGGTCTGGATGCCAGTTTCTTTCGTACAACAAAGAGCCGGGAGGTGAAGAGGTAAAGCAAAAAGGCCTTAAATCGTTGCAAATATCTCTGGATTTCCGCCTGACTGGAGGAGGGGGTGTGCTAATTTCTTCTTTCCTGCAGCCATACACAGGTGGGCTGGGGCAGAGTGTTTCCTGTGAGCTGAAAAGGTATTTTCATTTTACATTCAGGCTTGGGGGCCATGACGTTTACTTTAAGCTACAGGAGACATCTCTTTAATGATGAGCTTGTAGCAAAAGGAATAGAATATAAAGGTTAAAAGTAAAAGAAACAGATCTAATATGGAGTCAGATTTGTTCTTCCCTATTACAATCGTAAACAATGTAAATGTCAGTGAGTTTCTGGAAGGCAAAACACTTTGATGAGAAAAAGCAAATCTAAGTCCTGAGAGGGTTAACTGGACTGAATTATTTGGGCAGTTTGCAGACACTGAATCCGGCGTTTTCTTGAATTTGCTTGGTAGGTGGCCCTTATTTAGGGCTTAGGGGAGCCAATCCTCCCTCACATCCCTGCTCCTCTCTGCAGACTGGGCTGAGGAAGCTTTCTCACAAGGACAGAACTCCCCTGGGCAACCCTTTGATCCCCTCCCCGCCCTCCACTGCAGGGATTCTCCAGTGACACTGCGGAATGGCATCTGGGTCTGGGAGCCATAGGCAAACCAGCACTCTGGGAGATCTTAAGGGGGAAGGGGGTGGTACAGCCAGCCAGGTACCCCCATGGACAGTGGGAACCTGAGTGGACAGACAGAATGGAAAGAACCCACAGCACCTGGGCAGTTTCTCCCCATCCCTCCCCAACCTTTGGAATGAGAGAAGAGCCTGGTGCAGTAACCCCACTAGTGACCAGTGTGGGTGTGCAGGACTGGGGAGCTGGGAGCTGGAAAGGAGAGAGATTCCCAGTGCTGTGCCCGCCTCGAAGCTCCCTGCCATCTTGTCTGCAAACACAGGGTAGGGGTTAGACGTTTCATGAGCAGGTTGGGGCTGAGGGCTAAGGGTCACACGGCTCGACTCTAGCATGGCCAGAATGGGTGAATGCGTTCGGCTCAGTTTGACAAGTGCAGCCGGATGCTGAATGTGATGCATAAGTAAAACACTGGTTTTTATAACTGAGATGGCTTTGCTCCTGAGATCCAAACTGATTTTCAAAGATGATCCAAGATAGGTACAAATAATTAAGATGTACAGACAAAAGTCACAAGATTTTGCTTTCAGGGAATGTCGTTTGATGAAACAAACAGAGGAAGGGAATTTGTTCACAAAGAACCCACGGTCATGGGGTGCTAGCCCTGGGGACTAATGATGCCACCTGACTGGGTGCAGTAAGGTCAACTGAAGTTGTAGTCTCTAACATGGGGTCCCCAGCTCCAGCCCGGGACCCCCTGGGCACACGAAATCTTTCCAAAGGCATGGGGGTGGGTGGTGGTTAGATTGCCAGATTCCATAAGTACTCTTTAAAACTGATCACCCTTCAAAATTGCTTTTCTCTCACTATACAATGAACAGAGTGCATCCCTCTCCCACCAATACACTTTTTTTTTTTAGCAACCTTGCCCTTTCAACTGCGCCAGTATGGACCCAAAATCATATAGGCCTTGGGGTAGGGTCCCTTGAGAAGAAGCAAGAAGAGCATCACACACACAAAAAAAGTGTTGATTCAGGCCGTACATTGACAGCAAGGCTGTGTGCCTTATCCATCTACCTTAGAGTTTAAATATTTAAGGTTTACAAAAAGGACTTAGGGAACTGTGAATCTCTTTCAGAGCACATCCCCCCCTTCATTTGCACCATTCTCAGCAATGGGGAAGAAACTTCGTGAGTGCTGTCATTCATTCGCCTGGGTTTTGGTCTAATTTGTATGTTTTGCCTGATTTCAAGGAGGTGTCAGAGAACAGCTCTGAATTTCTGCCGACTGGTCAACGTTACATTGTCAAGTAAAAGGAAGGTATATTGGAGGTAAGTAAGTGCTTTATATTTTTTATAACATTTATTTCAAGTCATAGGAGAAATATTTTCATTTACTTTTATCTAAGATTATTAGATGTGTACATTTTAATATTTAGAGACTTATGGTCCCAGAAAAAAATTGTAATGAATTTCAAATATATGCATATGTATTTCCTGGGTGCAGACAAGTATGATAAGGTGACCAATTAAAGGCTTTCAAAACTAAAACGAATGACTTTAAGATCCACTTAGGTGGGGGAAATGGAACAAAAATCTGAAGTCGAGGATCAAAAGGAACAGAGTAAAAGACCTGGAGTTCATATTTTATAAAACATAGGTTTGGTGTTAAATTATCATAATATTTAGAATCCCTCATCTACGCTGGAAAGAATTTTATAATTTTACTTTTAAATGTAAACTTAAAGATACATCAGAAATCTCATCCTTTGCCACTATTTAAGTTTATGGTGAAAAAACTTTTTGATGTTCAGCCTGCAATCATGATGGGAAATACAGAGTTTAAAAACATCTTTGGAGATCCGGAAGCATATCCTTGAAGACCACTGAGCTGGTTTGGAGCATCTGTCCTCATTTGACACTTGGTTTCTTGGAGTTGTCCTGTCATTTCTTTCTGAGCTCCCACTGTGTCCCAGTGTGTCTCGTGGTGGGTTTGGTTCCATGATTGAATGTACCCAGCTTCTGAATTGTGTTAATCCTGATCTACTTGGTTTTAAGCTGACCTGATAAAGAAAGAAGATGGTTCATTCTGACTTGAAAGTCAAAGAACCCGATTCACCTTCTGCATCCAGTCATCTGTTACTAAATGGAAATGATGATCTGGTGGGGAAAAATGAGGAAACGGTAAGTTGATGCCTGAAAACCACTCTCTGCGTGGACATGAGCTGTGTCCACTTGTGGGCTGCCCACTGATACAGTGATGCCATTGCTGCCCGGAGGTGCCCGCTTCCACATCTCTCTGAGGGCAGGATGTGGATACAAAGACTCTACTCATTCTGTTTGGGCCCTTCTTGCAGCCAAATGCATACAGTGTTTTGCCTTAGCTGATGCTGGTTGGGGTGCAATTTTGGTCTGGAAAACCGGGCAAGATGCTGATCGGCTAGTGTAGGAATTGGCCCCAGGCACTGGGCCCGAGGAGCCCTGTGTTATCACGTGCACACATCATCGTTCAGTCTCGAGTTCAAACCTCTGAGGTGTCACTGTGACACCACCTCACAGTGAAGCCATGTGGTGTCTTTTCTCCTAGAATCGAGACATATTTTTGGTGGGAGCCAAACTTGGCTTCTGGAATCAACTCAACCTGAATTTGATTCCAGTGCTGACACTGGCAGCTGTGTGATCTTGGGTGGTTATTCTTCCCTTTAGAAGCCCGATTTTCCATCTGTAAAGTCGGAATAATAATAGTATTTACCTTGTGTGGCTGTTGAGCAGAGGTAGAGGCTGGGCACTTAGGAAGAGCTCTGTTTATTGCTGTCACATGTTTTAAAACAATGGATCTTCAGCGTCTTTCCAGTTGGCTCCATTTTCATAATCAATGTTTAACAATGTTTTAAACAATATTACAAACTACATTGGAGGACATAGAAAAATAAGAAGGTCCACCCATCTTTCCACCACCCTAATATAACTGTCATCTCTCTCCTGGCTGTAACTGGCAGGGTAGAGGGCAGGAGGGACTCCCAGTGCTCAGACCCATGTGTTCGGATGTAGCTTTGCCTTTTTCGGCCAGGTTGAACAGGGGGTATCTTATGACCCAACAATTCCACTTCTAGGTGTAGACCTTGGTTCTTAGAGTGTGGTCGCCAGAGAAGCAGCATCAACATCCCCGGGGAAGTTTGACGTGGAAGTGATCACACTCACATATCCTTCGCCCAGACCTAGTGAACTAGAAATTTCAGGGACAGAGCCTACCATCTGTGTTCTAACAGACCCTCCAAGTGATTCTTCTTTGTGCTGAAGTTCGAGAAGCATTTTTCCACGTTCATATAGCATTCTTTCTAAGCAAACCCAGAAACAACACAAGTGCCCATGAGTAGTGGAGTGCATACATAGATGGTGGTGTGCTCATGCAGTAGGATTCCATACAGCAGTGAAAAGGAATGAGCTAGAGTTCCAGGTATCAAGATGGCTGAGTCTAGAAAACAATGGTGCGGGAGTCCCCTGGTGGTCCAGTGGTTAGGGCTTGGGACTTTCACTGCCGTGGCCTGGGTTCAACCCTGGTTGTGGAACTGAGATCCTGCAAGCCGAATGGCGTGGCCAAAAAAAAAAACAAAACTAAAAATAAATAAACAATGGTGAACCCTAGAATCAAGTCACAGAAGAAATATACTATATGATCCCATTTATATAAAGATCCACAACAGGCAACCATAAGCCACGTATTGTTTAGGGAAA